TCTTTGCTGTGTCTCAGAAGTCACCACACTTTGATATTTGCTGTTTCCTTCACCTAGGAAGCTCTTGCTTCACACATCCATATGGTTGTTATGTATTTACTTATTATTTGTCACACCTTCCCACACATACACACATACAAACACAAACACAAAACCAAGGTAAAAGCTCCTTAAAGACTGAAATTCTTAGTCATCACATTCTCTACATTCCCTAGAACTTTACCTGGCCCATAGTAGGCACTTAATAAGTATTTGGGAATGGAAAGGATGTCTGCAGCATATGCAAAGATAACACACACACACACACAAAAACAAAAATGTAGGGCTCTGGAAATTGCATGTAGTTCAGCATACCTGGCAGGAAGCCAGGGAAAGGAGATGAGTTGCAAGCTGAACAAAGGTTAGATCATCACATACTTTGTTCACCCTGTTAAGTACTCTATACCTTATAAATTGAAGATAAGTTGGATGATCTTAAGGAAGTTTGCAGCATGGTAAAATGAGAATTTTAGAAAGAATAGTCTGTTACAATGCGGAGACTGAATTGGCAGAGAGCAAGACTATACAAAAAAATCTTCATGAACCAGATAACCATGATGCTATAATCACTCACCTAGAGCCAGACATCCTGGAATGAGAATTCAAGTGGGCCTTAGGAAGCATCACTACAAACAAAGCTACTGGATGTGATGGAATCTCAACTGAGCTATTTCAAATCTTAAAAGATGATGCTGTGAAAGTGCTGCACTCAATATGCCAGCAAATGTAGAAAACTCAGCAGTGGCCACAGGACTGGAAAAGGGCAGTTTTCATTCCAGTCCCTATGAACAGCAATGCCAAAGAATGTTCACACTACCACACAATTACACTCATCTCACACGCCAGCAAAGTAATGCTCAAAATTCTCCAAGCCAGACTTCAACAGTATGTGAACCATGAGCTTCCAGATGTTCAAGCTGGATTTTAGAAAAGGCAGAGGAACAAGAGATCAAATTGTCAACATCAGGTGGCTCATCAAAAAAGCAAGAGAGTTCCAGAAAAACATCTATTTCTGCTTTATTTACTACATCAAAGCCTTTGACTGTGTGGATCACAACAAACTGTGGAAAGTTCTTCAAGAGATGGGCATACCAGACCACCTTACCTGCCTCCTGAGAAATCTGTATGCAGGTCAAGAAGCAACAGTACCGGACATGGAACAATGAACTGGTTCCAAATTGGGAAAGGAGTACGTCAAGGCTGTATATTGTCACCCTGCTTATTTAAGTTACATGCGGAGTACTTCATGCAAAATGCCAGACTGGATGAAGCACAAGCTGGAATAAAAATTACTGGGAGAAATATCAATATCCTCAGATATGCAGATGACACCATCCTTATGGCAGAAAGTGAAGAAGAACTAAAGAGCCTCTTGATGAAAGTGAAAGAGGAGAGTGAAAAAGTTGGCTTAAAGCTCAACATTCAGAAAACTAAGATCATGGCATCTGGTCCCATTACTTCATGGCAAATAGATGGGGAAACAGTGGAAACAGTGGCAGACTTTATTTTTTTGGGCTCCAAAATCACTGCAGATGGTGATTGCAGCCATGAAATTAAAAGACGCTTACTCCTTGGAAGAAAAGTTATGACCAACCTAGACAGCATATTAAAAAGCAGAGACCTTTGCTGACAAAGGTTTGTCTAGTCAAAGCTATGGTTTTTCTAGTAGTCATGTATGGATGTGAGAGTTGGACTATAAAGAAAGCTGAGCCCTGAAGAATTGATGCTTTTGAACTGTGGTGTTGGAGAAGACTCTTGAGATTCCCTTGTACTGCAAGGAGATCCAACCAGTCCATCCTAAAGGAGATCAGTCCTGGGTTTCATTGGAAGGACTGATGCGAAAGCTGAAACTCCAATACTTTGGCCACCTGATGGGAAGAACTGACTCATTAGAAAAGACCCTGATGCTGGGGAAGATTGAAGGCAGGAGGAGAAGGAGACAACAGAGGATGAGATGGGTGAATGGCATCACCAACTCAATGGACATGAGTTTGAGCAATCTCCAGGAGTTGGTGATGGACAGGGAAGCCTGGTGTGCTGCAGTCCACGGAATCACACAGAGTTGGACACGACTGAACTGACTGAAGTCTAGAGGTGGTGATGGTTGTTGTTAAGTTGACCAATTGTATCCAACTCTTTTGCAACCCCATGGACTGTAGCCTGCCAGGATCCTCTGTCCAAGGGATTTCCCAGGCAAGGATACTGAAGTAGGTTGCCATTTCCTTCTCCAGAGGATCTTCCCAACCCAGGGATCGAACCCGCATCTCCTGTATTAGCAGGTGGACTCTTTACCACTGAGCCACCAGAATTAGGAGACTATGGTAGAACATTAAAGCGTGAGAAGCAGAGTACCATTTAGGTACCCGAGTTCAGTGCTCAAGAGCTCTAGTAAACTTGTCGGTCATAAAACAGCAGTCTTTACATACAGGCCTATATAAAGGTATAGGTCTCTAACAAAGGCAGGATCTCTAACTTTACATTATAAATGACAATCCACAATTTTGGAATCTTTCTTTTTCCCGGCACTTGTAGCCTGCAACCAATGACTGATGTTCACAGGGAAAGTACTCCAGTTTTATGACTGCCTCCCACTCTTCTACCCAAATAATGTTATTGAAAGTTGATCATTTAGCAAGATTTAGATGGACAAGGAACTTGGAAGGTATTAACAGAAAATTTAAAAAACAAAAACAAAACCTCTTCTTTCCATAACAGTAAATAGGAAAGATGAGAGAGATTTTGAAACAGCAGAAAGATTTTGTGATTGGCTAAATGAAAAGAAGCTATTATTACACTAAATACACACTGTGTGCTTTTCCAGAAGATGTGGTCCCTAATTGAATGAATGATTTATTGATATTTAGTTGTTTTTTTTTTTTTTAATGAGTGTTATTCTCACTTGCCCTGCATGGCAAATACCAGTACCTTGAAAAATAGGAAAAGAAATAGTAAAGATGGGTGCATATAAAATTAGTCAAAGAGAATGTGTAGAGTGAAGGGGAAAAAATCCCAAATGCTAGAGAAAGCAATTTTTAAAGGGGGAATAGAAGAAGTTACCCATGAAAGAAACTGAGAAGTTAACTCTGGTAGAAGAAAAGACAAAAGCAAAATATATTATGTTCACCAAGCAGAGACAATCTGTACACAGATTGTGAATGTCAAGTAGAAATGTCAAAATACAGTAAGATGTAGAGGAACCCTTGAAATGGTTACTCTAACTCAGGAGAAAATAAATAACTATATGTATACTTGTTCCCCTGGCAAATTTTAATATTCAATTAATTGCATCCTTACCCAATTAAAATTTATTTAACTTAATTCTTTTCTTTACCATGTTATCATGTTAGCCCTTTTTACCTTTTTTATATTTGATCTTTGACTCTTTTATATGTTGCTTGCATAGCCTCTCTTGCTTGACGCATTAGCAAGGTTACTTTCCTATCTTGCAACCTTTGGTTTCAGGCCTACCTGTTGTTACCTCAGTAGATTAATCTAATTCCTTTCTGTTTGAAGTGGCTCTGAGACCCCTCATTACTTGTGTAATGTACTGTCCTGGAGGCAACTGCTACAAGTGTTTGAATGATGTGTGTGTGTGTGAAATTAATATATAAGTAATTGAAAGTATTTGACATTGTTCAAAAATTTATATATAAATTGTTGAGGAAGATTAGTAAAACATTTTGTATATAATTCAGATGCCATTAGGAGGATCTGCAGGTTAAAAGGGCATGCTAATCTGCTTGCAAAGAATACTTAGGATAGAAAAGGAAAGTGAAATATACTTAGATATAGGTAGATAGGTATAATTACATGTGTAGAATATATATATATATATTTTTTATACTGTGATGAGTGCCTGTAATAAGAGGAATGGACTGTGTAAACTCACAGTACCCCTGTGTTCACTATTTACAATAGCTCAGACATGGAAGCAACCTAGATGTCCATCGACAGATGAATAGATAAAGAAATTGTGGTACATATACATAATAAAATACTACTCAGCCATAAAAGGAATACATTTGAGTTTGTTCTTATGAGGTGGATAAACCTAGAGCCTATTATACAGAATGAAGTAAATCTGAAAGGAAAAACAAATTTCATAATTAATGCATATATATGGAATCTAGAAAAATGATACTAATGAACCTATTTTCAAGGCAAGAAGAGAGATGCAGACATAGAGAACAGACTTTGGACACAGCAGGGGAAGGAGAAGGTGGGACAAATTGAGAGAGTAGCATTAACATATGTAAATTACCATGTGTAAAATAGCCAGTGGGAAGTTGCTGTAGGCACAGGGAGCTCAACCTGGTGCTCTGACAACCTAGAGGAGTGGGATGGGTGGGAGTTGGGGAAGAGGTTCAAGAGGGAGGGGACATGTGGATACTTACGGCGGATTCATGTTGTTGTATGGCAGAAGCCAACACTACTGTAAAGCAGTTATACTCCAATTAAAAATAAATATTATTATTTTCCACAAAACAATTAGAAACACTCAGTTAACTTTTGAATGGATTCTGAATGATACAAAGGAATTTGGCATGAGGGAAAAGGGATGAAGACTCTCCAGATTATGAATGATTATACAAATCAGAGAAATGTCAAGAAGATAATTTAAAATTCTGTCATGGGCTTTGGACTCTCATCCCAGACTGCCATTTTCAATTTATGTTCCTCTTTTAATCCTTCTTCTCCATTTTTCCATTAACTGATTCTCCTGGTCACTCTTACACTCACCCTCTTTAAATGGGTTTGTTTAATCTTTTCTCCACTCTCTTGTTCTCAGCTTGTATTGGCTTATTTCTCTGTACTGCTTAATTAAATCTCCTAAGTTTTTCTTATTATCTTTTGGCCAAATATTGAGACCTTATTTGAACACCATAAATATTCAGTCTATACATTTAGTAGCCAAATGCTGTATCACATGAAACATTTTCAGTTTTTTCTTTCCTCTCCAGGATGGAAGAACAGTTATAAAACCACAAAGTCAACTCAAACACAAGGTCATTCATTTCAGGAACTGATAATGAAAGGATCCAAAAGGAGTGGACCTGGGGACTTCAAATCAGAAAAACCCTGCAGATATGAAGGCAGATTAGAGAAAAAGCAGGAGAAAAAAGAAAGTGTACAGATAGTTTCAGTCACTCACAAAAAAATCCTCTCTATAGAGAGAAAACATAAAAATACTCAATTTGGCCAAAACTTGAGCCCAAAGTCAGTCTTTTTTAGGCAACAGGTGATCCCAAGAGAAAAAGCCCCACCAAAATGTGAAATACAAGGAAAGAGCTTCAAACAAAATTTCAGTTTATTTAATCAACAAAAAACCAACACAGCTGGGAAACGTTATAAATGTAGTATGTGTGAGAAAACTTTCATTAATACTTCATCCCTTCGTAAACATGAGAAAAACCACAGTGGAGAGAAATTATTTAAATGTAAAGACTGTTCAAAAGCCTTTAACCAAAGTTCAGCACTTATTCAACATCAAATAACTCATACTGGAGAGAAACCCTATATATGTAAAGAATGTGGGAAAGCCTTCACTCTCAGTACCTCCCTTTATAAACACTTAAGAACACATACTGTGGAGAAATCCTATAGGTGTAAAGAATGTGGTAAATCCTTCAGCAGAAGATCAGGCCTTTTTATACATCAAAAAATCCATGCTGGAGAAAACCCCTATAAATATAATCCAGGTAGAAAGGCATCTAGTTGCAGTACATCCCTTCCTGGATGTCAGAGAATTCATTCCAGAAAAAAGTCCTACTTATGTAACGAATGTGGTAATACCTTTAAGTCTAGTTCATCCCTTCGTTATCATCAGAGAATTCACACAGGAGAGAAACCTTTTAAATGTAGTGAGTGTGGGAGAGCCTTCAGTCAGAGTGCATCTCTCATTCAACATGAAAGAATTCACACTGGAGAAAAGCCTTACAGATGTAATGAATGTGGAAAAGGCTTCACTTCTATTTCACGACTTAATAGACACCGAATAATTCATACTGGTGAGAAGTTTTATAATTGTAATGAATGTGGTAAAGCCTTAAGTTCCCACTCAACACTTATTATTCATGAAAGAATTCATACTGGAGAGAAACCATGTAAATGTAAAGTGTGTGGGAAAGCCTTCAGACAAAGTTCAGCTCTCATTCAACATCAGAGAATGCACACTGGAGAAAGACCCTATAAATGCAATGAGTGTGGAAAAACATTCAGATGTAACTCATCCCTTAGTAATCATCAGAGAATTCACACAGGAGAGAAACCATATCGATGTGAAGAATGTGGGATATCTTTTGGCCAAAGTTCAGCTCTTATTCAACATCGGCGGATTCATACAGGAGAGAAACCCTTCAAATGTAATACATGTGGGAAAACTTTTAGACAAAGCTCATCACGTATTGCCCATCAGAGAATTCATACTGGAGAGAAACCCTATGAATGTAATACATGCGGGAAACTTTTCAATCACAGATCATCCCTTACTAATCATTATAAAATTCATATTGAAGAGAACCCCTAGGAAGTAGATTTGCGTGTGTGAAGTTCTGAAACCAAAGCTCACCAGAATACATGAGAGTGATGTGATAAATGTAATGGATATGAAAAGCCTTTCTATAGTTTAGTCCTCATCAGATGATAAATCCTAAGGACAAACCTGTGTAATGCATATTGAGGAAGGCTGTCAGACAGTAGTAATAACCTTAAATGAAGAATCCCTGACTGGAGACATTGACTTTGGGCATTTGTAAAATAATTGTTTTCTCTCCACAGCAGTGTAGACTACCTGTCATATGTAATTGTTACAAGCATCTGGGTGATGAGGGGAGGTGTGCACTGGATTTCCCATTGAAATAAATGTTAATGCTTTTTTAAATAACTGACATTGTAATAGCATATAACAGATGTGATCAAAGAAATTATACATTTTTAGAAAAAAGGACCAAATAAAAGATAAAAATGAACTGTAAACTACCTCTCAATTTCTGGGGTTAGTCCTTTTCCTGAGTTGCTGTCAAACTTTGTGCATGGATTTCATTTAAAAATAGAAATAAAAGTCTGTTCTCTTCTTCTTTTGTTCTTCTAGTAATTGCTATAAATTTCAAATTTTCTACTCAGAATTTTTTTCTTTTTTTGCTCTGAATTAATTTATTACAAAAGTATACTTGCTAAATACTGTGAGCTGTCATCTTAGGGATATTAAATGGAAAAATAAGCAGTTTTCAAAGCTATTTAAAGTATTTAATACAGTATTGAAAGTTATTAAATGTTTAATGTATATGTATTTAATAATATAGATTCTAATTTCACACCAGAAGGGCCTGTCAAAAGTAGTTTAATGAATCTAGCATACATGCCAAAATGTTGAAAGGTACATTGATCACGTCATGAAATAGAGTATGTTTTTCCTTCTTGGTGTTCTTTAGTATCAAAACAATTTCAGGAAAACAAAAGGAATAATTATAAACAACTCAGTGGTTTGTTTTTCTCTTGCCTTGGGGCAGGTACTGTATTGCACACTGGAAACTTCAATAAAAAAGTCACAGACCTTTAAGAAGCTATGAATGAAGTAAAGGGAATAGAGTTGAGGAACTATCAGATGAGTAAAGCAAATTATGTCAGTGTACACAAGTGTGGTTGTTTTAACAGGCAAATAGATTGTGAAAATATTTTGCAGTACAAGAACATTGTAGCAATTTGGACATGAAGAAAGAGATTGAACCTAATTAAGGAAGCCTGATTACATCAGAGAAAGTTTTCCAGAAGCAATGATCCCTGAGTCAGGTTTTGAAAGAATAATAAGAACTCTCCAGAGGTTGAGATAAGCCTTCCAAATAAGAGGAAAGGTAGAGGTGGTTAGTACTGTGACATCTCCGTAGAAATTCAAGTATAAAACTAATGATCAGGAGAATGGCAAATGTTAGTTTGAGTAGAAGGCAAGAGACCAGATAACAAAAGCCCTATTTGCCATGCAATGAAGTTTAGATTTTATCCTGAAACTGATAGTTAAAAATGTTAAGCAAGGGACATTGTTTTGGCAACAGTGTGTGGAGAATGTATATAGGATTTATTAAAGCTGTGTAGACTGATGCCTAGAAATCTGAGCTATGATAATTCAAGTGATAGATAAATCAGAGTCCAAACTAGAACAGGAACAGCACATTTGGAGAATAGGATACAATATATTAGAACAAATAAGATGGTGTTCAGAAGCAAATAAATGAGGTTGGTGAGTGAGAAGAAAGCTAAGAAGGCAAGTAAGTTTGACAGGTATCCTGTATATAGTGAATATGTCTTGTATGGACTGATTAAGTTGCCCTTAATGTAACTAAGTTGTATTTTTTCCTGATAGTGAAAACTGAGCAGTTAGAGCTGTATTTCTGTTTCAATAATTGGCACTTAAATTACTTAAACAGCAGTGCTAACTGAAAACTGTACCTCCACAGATCTGAACAATTCTTTATAGTCTATCCTATATTTTTGGCTGAGAAAAGACCAAAGTGGAGGGTTAGGTGTTGAGGGTGGGGTATGTGCTAAGCTTAGTCACATCTGACTCTTTGCGACCCCATGGATTGTAGCCCACCAGGCTCCTCTGTCCACGGGGACTCTCCAGACAAGAAGACTGGAGTGGATTGCCATGCCCTCCTTCAAGGGTCTTCCCAGCCCAGGGATCAAACCCAGAAATTCATTTCAATGTATGACAAAAACTACTGTAATGATGTAAAGTAATTAGCCTCCAACTAATAAAAATAAATGGAAAAATAAATAAATAAAAAAAAGAATTTAAGTCACATAAAATAAATAAATAAATAAATCTGATTACTACAAAAAAATAAAAATAAAAAAAATAAAAGTATGCCAGTCAATAACAGCTTTATTCTAGTGATCACACTAACACAATTGAAAGACTGTCATTCCATAAACACTCCTGCTTCTGAAAATCCACCAGTCCTTGGACTAAGCTTCCCAAAACCTTGTATAACATCAGCTGTGGCTTTCATTGAGAGGTTGTTCCTTGCAGATACAGCTCTCCCTTGCGGCCATACATGAAGTTCATTTTTTCTGCAGCACATACCAAAGTTCAGTTTGTTAGGTTGCAACCACTTCAACAATTCAACCCCAATTTACTGTTATAAATTTAGCTNGTCCTTGGACTAAGCTTCCCAAAACCTTGTATAACATCAGCTGTGGCTTTCATTGAGAGGTTGTTCCTTGCAGATACAGCTCTCCCTTGCGGCCATACATGAAGTTCATTTTTTCTGCAGCACATACCAAAGTTCAGTTTGTTAGGTTGCAACCACTTCAACAATTCAACCCCAATTTACTGTTATAAATTTAGCTTCATGAGTGACAAATACATTAATGATATTATGAGACTATCAAATTCAATATTTTCAATTTCTGTGGTGTTTGCTAGCATCTAATTTTTATTTGTGTATTTGAATCTTGAATGCAAATGTAGATTTGTGATTAACTTTCAGAGCATTGGTTATCTATTAAATGAGAGAAAAGTCCCTTTGAAACTTTTTTTGCAGTATAAAGCTTCATTCAATACAAAAAAATGATAGAAAGTCAGTAATAAACCAGTATCTATTAACAGCTAAACCTAAGAGATATGTGGTTCCTCAGCTATTAAAAAAAAAATACATTTTCTAATTAAAACAAATTTAGATGAAAATAATCACAGCAGAAGTTGTAAGATTGTTCATGTTGTGTATCATCATGATCAACCTTGTCAGCGCAGATAACTGGTCAAACATACCAGGAGTATTTTCTGATTCTAAAATTGAAAGGAAATTTTAAGTGCCAGGATAAAATGCTACAATAATAAAAAATGTAATAGCTCTATTTACTATTACAGAGATTATTAAAGATCTAAAATACCTCATTTTTTAAAAACATAGCCCAAGGTGCAGGTAATCACAATATCAGAAAAAAATTCCCTTTCCTTGTATGTTGTTCCTCATGAAAAAGCCTTGCTTAGAAGGCTGCTGCTCACTTAATGAGTTAATGAGAAGTGTACTGCTTTTGATAGAGATAATAAAAATGCAAATTTTGGTGTATATGCAGAAGTGCAAACAATTTAAAGTTGAATCAAAGTGTAGTGGATTCTATGCAAGGTGTTGGCTATCCTGCACACATTCTGCACTTTTGCATAATTCTGCACAGACAACATCTGACATTTTATTGACCCAGAGTAATTATTGTGAAACTGTTGCATTACTTGAGCATTTAAACATTTGAGGAGTTAAAGAATTTTGTGACTTTTTTGCATTTTATAATCTCTAATTTTCTAACATTCAGAAACTTGTTTGGACTTCCTTTTTCAGCTTCTATGCTGTGAACAGTTTGAAAGTGATTACTCACATTCTTACAACAAGAATAAGTTGGACAGGCTGAAAATCAATGACTTTCCTTTTATTTTCCTGAGAACTGAGGTTGCTGGGCAAATTGCAACACTGGTATGCAAAATCTGGTATGACAGGCATACTTGTATTCCAGAGAAATACAGCCAAGATCTGCTTACCTGGATCAGAAACTACAGGAACCACAAAATGTTAGAAATATTAAATGCTTATTTTGATAAATTGCCGGGTCTCTTTTGAGACAATTTTGATAAATTGTCGAGCCACCAGGGAAGTCCAAAAGCGGACTGTCTTGAGAGTGAGAAATTCCTTGGGGGCTACGCTCTTAGGAGGTCATCCACATTTCCACTGCCATTAGATTCGGAAACTCTGATGGATTTGCATGGTGGAGACCTGAGAAATACTCCCTCAGTGCTCTAAGAGATGAAGGATAACCATTGTGAAACACATCTAGAGTTCACCAAAAATGTCTACTCTCCTGGGGAAGAGTTTACCAGAGTCTTATGCTAGCTGAGATAAGGCCATTCCTCCTACTTTAGCCCATCGAACCTTGCTGTCTCACTAAGGAGGAGAAAAAAACAAACAAACATGGAGTTGGGGGTGGGGGGGGTTATTCAAGGAAAAATATTAGGAACGCTGCAGTCAGAGGAGGGAGCACAGGGCAAGGAGCTTGGGAGAAAGCTGTAGCACTGGATAAATATTTGTCCTAGATAGTCCCACTAAGACTGAGATTTCATTGGAAAATTATAGACTCCTCCACTACACCCTGACCCCCACCCCAGAACTTGCCGCCACACCAGCAACTCTGGATTACAGCAGAAAGAGCTACAAGATACAGACTCTCTTTGAGGAGTGTTCCGCTTGTAATGTGGGAGACCTGGGTCCAATCCCTCGGTTGGGAAGATCCCCTGGAGAAGGGGAAGGCTACCCACTCCAGTATTATGGCCTGGAGAATTCCATGGACTATATAGTCCATAGGGTCACAAAGAGTCGGACATAGTTGAGCAACTTTCACTTTCACTTCAGGAGTGGTCAGTGTTTTGTCAATAGTGGAGACAAAGACAAGGATACTAGAGGAATTTGAAGACTCTGGCACCTATGGTGGCCCAACTCCTAGCCAGGAAGTGAAGTGAAGTCGCTCAGTCGTGTCCGACTCTTTGCGACCCCGTGGACTGTAGCCTACCAGGCTCCTCCATCCATGGGATTTTCCAGGCAAGAATACTGGAGTGGGTTGCCATTTCCTTCTCCAGGGGATCTTCCTGACCCAGGGATCGAACCCTCCCACATTGTGGGCAGACGCTTTAACGTCTGAGCCACCAGGGACCAAGTTAACATAAATCTGGGATAAAAAACTATGACCATGTGGGATTTATCCCAGAAATTGAGGATATGTACAACATAAGAAAATCAATCAATATAATGCACTGCGCTAGTAGAATGAAGGCAAAACACACATACACACACACAACCATCTTGATACAGGAAAAACATTTCACAAAATTCAGTAACCTTTCATGATAAAGTTACTGAGCAAACCAGGAATAGAAGGAAATTTCCTTAACATTATAAAGTACTTTAATGAAAAATCCACAGCTAATCTCATATTGAAGAGTGAAAAACTGACAGCTTTCCCCTAAGATTAGGAACAAACAAGGATGCTTGATTTTGCCACTTTTATTCAAGACTGTACTGGAAGTTGTAGTCAG